ACATACCACCCAACACCCACTACCCATCTCCAGTCTCACAACCACCCTCCACTGCACCACCCACTCGCCACACTGCTGTTGACAAATGGAACACAATCGGCCACACCCACCTCGCAACGCTCCTTTCTCCTGGAAAATCCAGCCAGTGCTGGCAGTGTTCCAAAAAATTTTAAAACAAATACTAGAAATAAATGTTTTAACTATATACAAATCTAATATTAAACGTTACCAAAAACAAACAAATTTTGTATATGCTTGCTTTTACAACTTTTAATATAGAGTTTTAAGTGAGATTCAAAACGGGGAATCAATAAAAATATTTAAGAAGTAGAAGACTGCAAACTTCGCAGAAGAAGTCAGAAATAATGTTATTACACTTTCTATTCTTTTAAAAGGGCTGGTATTAACTATGCACTATGCTATTGACATAAATGCAGAGATGTTTTTATTATTATTTTAGATCAATTAACAGTTTTATAAAGTCAAAGCTTAATATCAATTGTAACTACAAATATTCCTACTAAATATACCAAAGTAAAAATTCAATGATTTTCTATCATCTAATCTAAAGAAAGATAATTATTTATTAAAAACAAAAACAAAGCATTTAAAAGTCAAATTGAAATAGTAAAAAACACAACATGCCATCCCTAACAGCAGCAGAGATTTATACAAGAAAAGAAACAGACACACATGAGCTTTTCACTAAGAAGTGGAATGTGGGTTGCGGGTGGGGTTTGGTTAGTGGTAGTCTAGGAGGATGGGTTGCAAGAAGGCTGGTGGGAGGGCCACACCGCCCGCATAAATGCATGAATACTTATGGATAGTTCCAAGCGCATCACAAACAACTGTTGTTGGACTTTCTGGTGGGCGGTCGCAGGCGGAATTGTCATGTTTCTCGCTTGTATTGCACTGACATCTGGGGGACATAATTCGTTGACACACACACACACATACACACACATACACACACACTCACTCACACACAATGCCAAGAACAACATTTATTTGTGCTCCATAGTGTCTTTATACATATATAAATTCTGAAATTCTGTGCGGACTTTGCTGGTTGGTTTTCCTTTTTTCGGTCTCGGTTATGTCGAAACTGCACTAAATGCATTTAATACGAAAAGCTCTAAAGAGAAACTGCTAAGAGCTCGAAATGCAAACATAAGTTCTAGCGTATTTATCGTTTTTTATTTGTTTTTAAACCCCAACATGTATGGAAAACAGGGCATGCTATATTGCAGACATCACAAGCAGGCTGAACTATGCAACTTCGACCCCATGAGAAAACATAATCTTAATCACCATCAACAAAGGAGTCAATCTGCCTGCCAAGGCAACGCCTTTGAGGTATGCAACATATTTTGTTACAAGTCGCAGCAGGGCAATAGATATCTTTGAGTCTTTGCACTTGACTATAACTTAATATTCCTTTTTCTCTTGAATGCAGTAAAATGATTTGGACTTGGATTAAGCTTTTTGGTTCGACATTTTGCCAAGTTTTTCAAATTAAATGCAAGCAAATGTCTTTAAAATCTATTCATTGGGGATCCTTTGCTTATCAGCTGTTAAAAGAATTTTATGTTATATAATGTTATTTATTTGTAAATTTTGTTTTGTTTTGCTGTTGCAGTTAAGATTACTTCAAACTGCCAGGCATTCAAGAAACAAATGAAATATTTAAAGATATATACTAAAATACCATATTGTAACCCAATTTACGCATCAATGACGGAACCAAACTAAAGGAACAACAGACAATCACGTGTTCACCTCCAACCCGACCCGATAATTTATTAATTTTCCCACAGGTATCCCCAGCCTCTTTCGCTTTCACTCGATACAGCAGCCTGCACGTATCCCGGGCGACTGGATGACTGGGTGAGCCGAAATCCCCTTGCTCGACGAAGCGTTAAAATGCCACCATTAAAAATCAATGTTTAAAGATTTATGAGCTTGACAAAGTGTTAATTACCAGGTAAGAGCAAGGTTAAGGCGAAGGACGAAGGCGAAGCTAAGCCCCGAAAGTAAAAGTCCCGGGCAACCTTATGTACACAGACATAATAACGAATAATCCTGTAAGCTTCCAACTTGACCTATACTCCCATAGACTTTCACCTCTTGTTTATTCGATTCTTTTTCTATCTGTTTGTCGAAATATGGAAAAGTAAATTGAAACAATTTTAGTAGCTGTAAATATATAGTTTTGTTTTGGTTGAAAAGCCATTAACATTCATCAATTATTCAGTAATTTATAGCTGCCACACCAAGAGAGAAATAAATGGGTCACTTCAAATAAAAACTGTTTGAGTTCAATTTGAACAAATAAAAAGTGGATGCATAATTAAATACTTTGATTGCTCAGAGAGTTGGGCAAAAAAGTGTGACATCATTAAGAAAGTCAATTATTGTTTAAGTTTTAATTTAATGGGTAGAAAACACATAAATCTTGCAATTAAATATGATTAGTGAAAAGATCTTAACATGTTATTGTCTACTATCAATTTAAATATTATATCAATTTAAATACTATTATGAAATTAAAAATAAGAAATATATTAATTTAATCATAATAAAAACTTATTAAAAATCTAGCTTAAATTCTTGGCCTACTTAGATACTAAAAATGTATTCCTTTATCTACTTTAAGCAAGCGCCTTAAGGTCAAAATAAAGCGTCAAATATACAGCCAAAAGTACTGGCTGTTATCCCACTCTCACAATCCAGAATTAAGATGGAATTCGCGGGGCAGTCCGGCGAAAAACCCGCGAAAAACTTTACTTTTAATCAGACCAAAACAAAACGAGCCAAAATAAAGGCAAACAAAATAGCAGGAATCAGGCGTCAGGATGCCATGACACCAAGGAACACCAAGAGAGAAATAACGATACACAACGAGGAGCCGAAAAGTAACGGAAAATAGGGAAGGACGAGTTCTCATAATTCCACGGCCAAAACGAAAATCCAACGGCTGCGACGACGGCGGCGGCGGCAAGGAGTGAAATAGGAAAATCAACAGCCGAAAAACGTAAAAAGATGCCAGCCAGCAGTTTTCCGTTACTTTTACTGTCGGCGTTTTTGTTTGTTTCTATTTTCATACATATATTTTTTTGTTTCTTTACTCTATTTTGTAGTTCACCCACATAAGCTGCGAGGGACACGTGAGGTTTCTCAGCGACGAAAATACGAAATATGTGTGCTGCGACAGTATATATAGTATATCTTTATATATATATAGAATAGTTTGCAGAGTGTGTGCGTGTGAAGGACGCACGAAACGCCTTAAATATGCTTCAACTACTAAAGAAGCCATAAAGCAACAGCCATCAGCCAACAGCCAACATTCAAACAGGCCACCGCAGAAATAAGCCTGCGACGTTCCACCGCCGCACTTCTCGCTTACATTTTTGATGTCCTCCGAATGGGAACACATTCATTGAACCCGGTTCGATATCGACCCGGTTGCAGGACCTTGTTCGAGTTGCAGGGGAAAATACTGGTGGGCTAGCAGGGATGTTAAAAAGTAGGTTGCAATGGATGGTTACTTACAGAGGTTACTTTCTGCTTAAACCATCCTTCCTCCTCGTTATTTTAAATATTTTAAACCCACGTTGGTTTGGATGACCAAATTCGATTTTATTTTTAACCCTATATTATTGAGACATCCCAATAATGAAAAACGACGGATCTAAATATATATCGATGAGAAAATATTGCAAGCTGGTCAGAAAAATAAATTCTACAACTTTAAAAAATAGTCAAGCCTTAATGTGTTCTACCTGACTGAGCCATTTCCACCCTTTAGTTTTCGTTCTATTAAAGTACAGCGATGTTTTTACAGATTTTGTAAAAACCAGTAATAGTTCCTGATACTTAAATGTTAAAGGGATTTAAGATATAGAAGTAAATTTTTTTTTAATTTAGTTTGTAGGCCTCTGTTTTGTGGTAGGTTTACGAATCTTTCAATTAAAAAAACTATGGTAGATATATATTTTCTTCCTTGAGTTAAAACTAATCCCACAGAAGCGTGATAAATAATCAGTTATGAAAGACATTTACAAGTTTAACAGCTATTTTTAAAAAGCAGGGGAATTTTAACAGTTTCTTAAAAACCTTGACATTTACAATACTTACATTTGAATGTCTACAAGAGTCTCTACACATTCTTTAATACATTTAATTGTATTTAAAAGATTGTTGGATTGGCTAAGGACATTGTTGCAGCAAAATATTCCTTGGAAGGAAATGTTTTGAATGTCTCATATCAGTGAGCAATTTGTTTGTGGCTTCCGCAAATTTCCCTTTTCACTTTATGGCAAGAAAGAATACATGGTTGGATTTACGGTCAAAAATGCTTTCGGGTTTTTATGGTATGGCATTAATGTGTGACACAATTTGTGTCCTTTATAAAAAAATCTGCAAACTACTGTATATATCCTTTTAGGGAAATTCGAACAAAAGTACGCGAATTAAGGAAACAAAAAAGGGAATTTAAGAAAATCAAACAAAGCGAATAGATTACTTAAAGAGGGTTTATACCACCAAAAAAGACATTTACAATCAATTTTTTTTATTTTAAAAAATACTTGTAATTTTTTATGTATGTTACAAGCGAATTCTAACGATTTTATGTCATTTAATTGGTGTTCATTTATTATCATCTTTGGTATAAAAATATTCTGCCTTGCCGCACCAGTTTTAAAATTAGCAAATACATTCAAACATTTTAAGCTTCCCAACCCCTTTTTAAGCCATAGCGGCTTATCGTGATTTAAAAACTCCTATTCTCGCAAAACTCTTGTTAATCCTTATAACCCCCATAAAAAGTGGCTTTCCAATTTGCAGGTTTCCCATAGAGAGGGTTAGCCAGGTGGTGATTTTCCTAAAAGCTAATTTACCTGATTGAGTTTGAGGATCTTTTATCAGCAGCTAGTCCAATCCTATACCTGACTTGACCCATTTAGCCAATTTCCATTTGCTACCTAGGCTTATTTAACACCCTAACATCGATATAAAAACCACTCGATCAAAAAACACAACATCAGTAACTATTTAGTCATGGCCCGTCGAACACAATCGCGTTATACTTTCGAAATCGTGGAAAACTGGCGGGTTTTTCGCCATCAGTTTTTCGTGAACGGTACGCGAAGAACTGATTGCAACACCTGTGAGAGTCGTGTGTCTGCCAGCGATCCATACTATCATCACTGGCGAAATGATATCCAAAACGGTAGAGGCTATTATATAAAGTTGGGTTCCGAGGAAGAACAGATCCTTAAAACAATCGAGAAACGGGGTGTCGAAGAGTTTATTCTATGTGACGGAAGCATCACACCCAGGACCAATGATTTCCTTTTGGACGCGGGAATGGATGCTGTTCCGCAACTACTGAGATTTCTAAGTTTCGGCACCGATAAGTTAGAGGCAACTGTCGGATTCTATGTGGATGTGAAAAAGGAGCGAATGTACTACGAAAGCAGCCCTTTAAATATCGAACACCATTTGGATATTGTCGAGGCGGTTGATATGATATTCTCCATGCTCCTGGAGAAAATAAGTAACTATGTCCTGCTGCAACAAAGGGTTCCACTGGAGGCGTGTGTTATCCGTAGGATGAAGGTGACTGTAAAGAGATTTTGCCACTCCCCGAAGGAAAAATCAAAATCCGCCACCATATTGCCTCTACAGTATCGGGTGAAAAAAGCAGCGGAATGCCTCGGCAGTGGAAGTAATAAAACTCCTTCTGATTTGGTCAAAATTGCTGAAACATATCTAAGCCAAGAGAACGAGGGACGACCAATCCCTGCTTCTTTAAAAGTCAACCTCTACACCTTTCGGGTATGCAATACCTCAAAGGAGTTATACGTGGTACCCTACTTACTCCACGGAGATGATGTGGACTCCACACCCACCTTTATCATCCAAACGGACGTGGTTGGTGGGTTTCAAGGTCTGCTAGAAGTCCGAAACATAAGGAAGTTCCTGCGGGCTGATAGCTACGATCGGGTCATCGAATGCCGCCAATGCCAGTCCCACTTTGTGGACCCGGTGCACTTGGCTCTCCATAAACAGATATCTTGTGGACGAAACTTTATGGTGTGGCACATGGACATGGATGCAATCGAGTTGCACGAAAACTGTTTGCCCCTGCCCAAGAAATACTTTAAATACGAATGGATTGGGTTGGCTAGCAAGCGGTTATAATTTAGTAGATAATTTTTTGTACTGCAATAAAAAAAACATTTTAAATGCACAAAAAGTAAAAATATTTCATTCGTATGATTTTTTATTTATTGGACTTCCGTCATAAGGCCAATGACTTACTTCTAAACTAACAAGGCTATATTTAAAAGAAAAAAATGGGGGGGAAATGTTCAATTTACCGTACATTCTCTTACTCATAGCAGATCCAATAAATAACTTTAGCTTTGATTTGTTTTTAACATAAATTGTTGAAATTTTTAATTATCATTCAAAGACAAAGTAATTTAATTTTAAAACCATTTTCAATGATAACCTCAAATATTAGTTTTGGCGGGCAATATTTAAATATTTCAGTATTTTTGGTTTCGATATTCTTTTTGGTATTTTCAAGACCGCCAGATAATGCCCACTAATGCTGAAAATGATTGTTTACCCTAAAACTACGAAACGATGAATCCGCTCGACAAAATTCACGCTCTTGACGAGATCGAAAAGGAAATAATCCTGTGCATGCAGAGTGCAGGTTAGCAAAGACAATATCTAACTAGAATACGTCTGAAATATAACTTATTTTTCAGGACAAGCCTTACAGGAGTTAGGCAAAGAGAAGTCCTCTCAGAAAAATGCCGAAACACAATCCCAGCAATTCCTCAAAAGCTTGTCCAGCGTAGAATCGAAACTATCTGAGCAGATCAACTACTTGACCCAGGTGTCCACTGGTCAGCCACACGAGGGCTCCGGCTATGCGTCCGCCAAAGTGCTTCAAATGGCCTGGCACCGTATCCAGCATGCCAGATCCAGAGTTCGTGAGTTAGAGGAGACCAAGGCCAAGCACTCACATGCCGCCCGTCAGCAGTTAAAGCGCCAGCAAGAACATGCCGCCGCCCAGCAGCAGCAACAACAACAACAACAGCAGATGCAACAGGCAGCACAGCAGCAACAACAGGCGGTCGGAGGAAACGCCGGTGGAGGCGATCATCCCATGGGCAGCGACTCTTCCATGTCGACAAACTAATCACGGGTATATGTTTAAGGGTGGGGATTTAATTTTTTTAAAAGTGAATCAATTACAGCATTTGTTCATTTTTTAAATAAAAAATATACAAATATAAATGAAATCTTTCTAAAGTATATTAGAAAAATAGGAGCATGTTTTCATGTTTAATTTGTACTTTATTTTTTAACTTAATAGCTAAACAAAATCACGTATTCGGTGTTACATCTGAGGGCTTATCACAAGTAAGATTCATCTCAGCTCTATCACTAGTTGAAACTAGCTTTGGTTCCCCTTTAGTTTGTCCTATGCCAAAGAAATTCCTCTCGCAAACATGACGTACGCATTGCAGCAGAACATTCCTCTCATGGCGAATGTCCGATTCCAAAAGCTTGGATAACATGGTGTTTGGCTGCGTTTGCTTACGAGCTTTCTTGAAATTCAAACCGTAAACACGCTTTGGAGCAGCTCGCTTGGGGGCAGTTTGTAGCTTAGATACCTTTGGTTGAGTTAAAGGGGAAGTTGTTTCTTTAATAGTTTCAGTTACTCTCTGGAAGGGCTCCTCGTCTGGTGCTTCGTCGGAAGAACCACTTTGTGCCTCACCAGAAGGAAGAGTTTGTAGGTTAGATGGATTTACTCGATTGATATGCTCCTCTTGGGGTGTTTCATCTGAAGAGGTATTTTCCAAAGCAGATGTGCGAACTTCATTGCCTTGCGCATCCTCAATAGGTTTCGCTTTACAAAGATTTCCTTGAGAAGATTTATAATCGCTACACTCCATGGCAGCATTGGATTTAAATTTCGAATCTAGATCAACGGGGCTGAGATCTTTTTCTGTACTCTGTACATTGTCTTTTGTTTCATCCTGATCCTCACTCTCAGTTTCAGTTTCTTCTTCGCTATCTGAACCATACATCCCGATCAAGCCAAACAAAGCATTATCCTTCGTTTGAACTTTTGGCTTAAAATGCTGATAATCCGTCATATTTCCAGTTCCACCAAATTTCGCGCACAGATTAGTTTCCTCGTCTTTTAAATTGGATTTGATTTTTTCAGTCTCTTTCTGGTTTATGGTTTCTTTGCCTTCATTCGTTTTATCATTATTTTCGCGTTTAATTCTTTCATTGTTTTTCCTTTCTGCGGGTTTGCCTTTGGCTCTTTTCTTTCTGTTTTTTGGCTCTAAACGCTCCTTAAAATTTTTATGATCACCTTGTGGTCGCGTTCTTTGGCGATCTTCGCGATTTCCGAAGCGAGATTTGGAAGCCTCCAGACGCTCTCCTCGCTTGATTCTCTGTTCCTTTGCTAATCTGGCCATCTCAACGTTGGCTGCAGTGGGAAACCTGAAAGATGTATGTTTAATTACGGGGTACTTAAGTGCTAAGGTAATAAATCCACTGACCTTTTCCGCCTTTCAGCTCTCCAAGCAGCCAATTCTTGATCAGTCCACACTTTCTTCACCTTTTTATAAGTCCCTGTGATGTGATAAGCTTCAATGTGGCGTTCCAAGATATTGTGGAGCGCGGAGAAGTCACAGTTATCAGCGGGACAGGATTCATGTTGCTCCATATGGCGTTTCATGTCCTGAGCATTGGCCAACTGCATGCCACACGTGTGACAGAATTCCGGTCGTGGAGGAGAGTGGTAAATAGGCGACACTTCTGGCACGCTGACTGGGCTGCTTTGCGGTGTTATCTATGGATTAGTTAAGGTAAGCAAACAATATTTGGGTAGTAAGTAGCCTCACCTGCTCCTTGGCAAGATATTTAGCTGGCACTGTTGATCCTCGTGCTCCATACATAGGCGGAGGCTGTTTAGCCCTAGGCAGCAGGGTCATTCCACTGGGGGTCAGATAGAGGTGATTGGCTTTGTTGGCTCCATTCGGCTTGTCGAATTTTGGAGACGGAAGTACGAATTTCGGCTGTACCTTTTCTTCCATCTCGTCGCGTTAAAAACTTTAAAAACGTTGTTTTCTTGGGGATAATCGTTCATCGATATCAATTCCCTATCGGGCTCTAAAGCACTTCGATATCACACTGCCCCGCAATATAGTCAGCTGTGAGAGTATGACCAGAGCTACTGCAAAAAAAAAATCTAATCCAATTTTATTTAAAATTAAATTTGGTGTTTCTTTTAACTTTTAAAATATAAAAACGAATTGAAAATATTCGTACATATATAAGTATACCGCGAGATTTAATAAGACCGTTGCTTTTCTGTAAATCATCGATAATCCCACCTATATCGATTGACTTAGTGTGACCACATCGCTCTGTTGTTGTCGCGACTAGCGAAACAAAAACAATTAGCTGAGAAGTGCAAGTCAATTGAGAGAGCCATCGTAATTGTATTTATTAAATTTAAGCGTTTAGATTAGTGTGAATACTCAGCGGGGCGACAGAATGCAAAGTGTTCTCAACACTGTCAAAGGCACGGCGCTCAATGTGGCCGAATATCTAACGCCCGTTTTAAAGGTAAGAAGTGCCAAATAGACGAAAAACTGACTATCAAAACGATCAAATATGTATAGAAATACGTTTAAAATAGGGGTGTATATATGCAGGCCAGCTTCATGAAAAAGACAGCCTCAAAAGATAAGAGTTTTCTAAGCCCAACTATTGATTCCCTCATTTCCCGTGCCCTCTTTCCACTCCCCCTAGAAGCTATTAAACTGGATTCACCGCCAGACTGTCTCCAAATCAATTACAGAGGGGTGTCTCAGAAATAACTGCCGACTTTAGTTTCAGTCGTAAAAACCGTCATCAAGTGAGCCTTTCTGTTAAAAAGAAAATTTTTGGCAAAGGTACGGACAGAAGAGTCCCTAAAACCGTAATATTAAATTTTATTAAGTTTTAAATTTGTTAATATTTTACCAATTCGTTGGTATATATCCCTTACTTGCAGGAATCAAAATTCCGTGAAACTGGTGTTCTTACTCCCGAGGAATTTGTGGCCGCCGGAGATCATCTGGTTCACCATTGTCCAACCTGGCAGTGGGCCGCCGGTGACGAAACCAAGACAAAACCCTATCTACCAAAGGGTAAGTGCTGCGATTTGCCATTAATCATTGGCCAATTTACTTATTAAAATCATTTTGCCCACCATTTAGATAAGCAATTCCTGATAACGCGCAATGTTCCGTGTTATCGTCGCTGCAAGCAAATGGAGTATGTCGGCGAGGAGACCCTGGTGGAGGAGGAGTCCGGCGACGGCGGATGGGTGGAGACCCATCAACTCAATGATGACGGTACCACCCAGCTGGAGGACAAGATCTGTGAACTAACAATGGAGGAAACAAAGGTTAATACTGGTTCCACTGCAGGGTCAAGCTTAGTAGTTTAGTTATTAGGGTGACAAACGTAGGGGAGGTAAAAGCAGATATATTATACAACATTTTAATTCAATACATTTAAAATTTAATATTAAGCAATGAATTATTAATTGGACGCTTTTGAAAACAGACAACTAACGCGCTAATCCCTAATACAAAGCCTTTCAACTCGAACTTACCAAAACAAAGTCGGAACCAAAAATTGCATCATTAATTTAATAATTTAATACTTTGTACGTGCCTCAACTAGGTGAGAAATGCATTAGTCAGGCAGCTTATAAGAATACTTTTTACGTTTTCCATATTGTTTTTTTATATCAGAAGCCTTTTGAGTGCTGTCGCCTCATATCAATACGATTTCATTTTCTCAATGTATCCGATTTCTAGGAAATGAAATGCGAATGAACTTGCTAACATGATTAACATGATCTAAGTTTATCTATAATTCATTACATAGATATAAAACGTAGAACTTTAATCAAGTTGTAATTATATGCGTGAATACCAACCTTTTTTTAAGATAGTTGAAATATGTAGTCCATAAGGGAATTGTGTATTAAACATCAAATACTATTTTACTGTTTTCCCGAAATCATAATCTAATCACAAAACTGCATCTTACAGGATGAAATGCACACTCCAGATAGTGACAAATCAGCCCCCGGAGTTGGAGCCGAGGCCGAAGACGAGGACGATGACGAGGCCATTGACATGGATGATTTCGAGGAGAGCGGCATGCTGGAGCTGGTCGATCCGGCGGTTGCGACTACAACGCGCAAGCCGGAGACGGAAACAAAGGCCAGCGGCCCAGTGGCTACAACTTCGGGTGAGGCGGAGGCCAGTGGGGACTCAGTACTCCACACACGCACCTACGACCTGCACATCAGCTATGACAAGTACTATCAGACGCCCCGCCTCTGGGTGGTGGGATATGATGAGCAACGAAAGCCACTGACGGTGGAACAGATGTACGAAGATGTCTCGCAAGATCATGCAAAGAAAACGGTCACCATGGAATCACATCCTCATCTTCCTGGTCCTAATATGGCCTCTGTGCACCCCTGCCGGCATGCGGATATTATGAAGAAGATTATCCAGACAGTGGAGGAAGGAGGCGGTCAGCTGGGAGTGCATTTATACTTGATCATTTTCCTTAAGTTTGTTCAAACCGTCATACCAACCATCGAGTATGATTTTACGCAAAACTTCAACATGTCTTAAGAGCCGCCATGCTTTTCGATATTGACGCAATAAAAAATATAACTCATAAAATAAGAGTTTGTGAACAAATAATCGAATAAATATTTGGGCAAACATTAGCAAAAACATAGACTCTGATTCGTTTTTATAATTACTTTTTATTTCACTTTGCTTTTGTTGTTGTTGGTTGTTGGTTGCATGTTTGAAACATCTCTGAGATGAAATTGTATGTTAACATAATCATAAAGCATATTAAATCAATTGATCGAATATGCATTGTAGTTTTAGGTAGTTTTGTTTCTAGTTAAATGATTTTTTTTTTGCATTTTTAACAGTTTTTCAAACTTAAAATGTGTGTGTGTTGCTTGCATTTATATTAATCATTAAATGTATAACTGTTAGATCCATTTTTTTTTGTTTTTCATGGGTTTATAGTATATATATAGATTTTCTTAATAGTTAAAATCACTTTTCATTTGCAATAACAGGTTCACATCGTAATCAATTTTACAATAAACATACCTAACGCCATTCATACCTGAATAAACATTTATATATTTGTATGTGTATATCGATCCCTCCATCTCTTTTCTTCTATTAACGTGTTTTCAACAACATGCCGCCAGCGTTACGTTAGACGTCAACAATTTTTGCCCTTTACTTAACATCTTTAAATATAACTGATCCACTATCTTGCCAACTCTCATTGCCAACTTTTACATTATTTACCCATATTTTTGTTTACGTTTTTTGTTTACATTTTATAATACATACAGAAGTTATACATACCAACTAAAGACCTAAATATATATATAATGTATACCTAGGCAAACCTATATATGTAGATGTCGTCGTGCTTTCGTTTTTGTATTTTTTGCCCCCTAATAATCTTGCATCTGCCAGAATTTTTTTTAATTTTCGTGAATTCTTCTGCTACCTCCGGTTTTTATACATCTTTTAACGACTTTTTTTTATTTATACACGCTGCCTTTAAATTTGAAATGTGTGTCTGTGTGGTAATTAGTTTCTGGTTTTTCTGAATCTGGAGTTCATATTTATTTAATTTTATAAGGTACTTTTTGTTTAAGCGCAATGCCAAGGCAAGAATTAGGGCAATGATCAGATCCAAACGAAATGAAGAAGAAATTTGGAAATTCTAAAAATATTTTACTTATTTAATAAGAATATTTATTAAAATTATTACAGCAAATTCCAGGTAACTTAATATTCGAATTGAAAGTGGTTCCATTAATTTTCATTAAATAAAGTTTATTTGGTTTGTTTATTTCGATTTTTGATCTTACAATATTCTTGATTTTCTTGAATGCGATTTCGGTTCCGCCTCATTGCCCAAATTCATGACTAAGCATCTTTTACTTTTAGATTTAAAGTTTTATATAGCTTGATTTATTTTTATAATTGGTTTTTATCCATTAACTGATTTATCATTTTCCTTGCACAAAATATATTTTATACTTTAAATATAAGCTTTACAGAATCTGGTTTGCTGACATTGAAACAATTACATCTCGGTTGAAATTTACAAATAGTTGAAACTTGCTGCTAAATTTAAATATATATGTAAGTATATATTTACTATATAGTTTTTAACACGATCTTTTTTATTAATTTATATAATTTCTTGCTCTTCATTATCTTGTTTGTAGGTAGTTGTTTGCATTGTTTTCTTACACTAAGATGAAATTACAATTATAATATACACATACATTCATACCATGAACACCTAAATTTGCTTTGTTTTCATTTTCTTTGTATGGATTTTCCGCTTTTGTTTTTGTTGCCGTTAGATTAGACGCAAATACTATGCAAGACACTTGGCGCGAAAAAATACAAGAATCGATCTACAAGTGGAAACGAATATAATTTGAAAACTATAGTAAAACCAATCGCTAATTAAAAAGTTGTAGGACGCTTAAAAAGTACGCCAATTTACATAAAAATATATATAGATTTTATCCATAAGTATCGTATCAATATAGGTATATAAAAATAAAATTTCTCATGCTTATTTTGTTTTCCGTTTTTTCTTTTCGTTTGCTTGTTGTAATGCCTAAAGAAAGTGGGGATTCTCCTTGCCGTATTAAAAGTTATATCCATACATCTATATATTCTCATTTAGGTTGAAGTGTTTTAAAAATTGCTTTATCAGGGACTACAAATAAAACACGAATTAATTTAAGACAAATTAATTAATTAGTTAAACATAAGCTAGACCTAACCGTAAACGTAATAATAATTAACATTGAATCAACAAATGTGTGCATGTGTGTGTGTATAGGTGTGATAGTTGTTGGTGGTGGTGGTGTTGGTGGTTGTAGTAGTGATGATGGATTCCCATATTCATAATACGGAATTCTGTATCCTCCGTTCGCCTTCCATATCCTCCTGGTTGGTTGCCATCCGACGGGGGACAGAAACCCCGCCTTGTTATTTACATTTCATAAATGATTAAGTAATCCGTGTCACGTTTTCCCGGCCTCTACACCTTGCGCTTGGCGTGCAGCATCTCCATGAGCAGCGTTTGGGTCGGCGCACTGCCGGCACAGTGCTTGGTGTACAGGTGCTCCTCACCGCGAGCGGCCATGGCATGGATATCCGGTAAGATGTTCACTAGCCTACTGAATTTATCCTGTAAAGAGGAGAAAGAAATACATTTTAGTTTTCGAATTTTAAAAGTTTAAGATCAAATAACACTCAATCCTTTACTCACATTAACTGACGGATAGCAGGTGAGGGTGTAGTCCAGCAAAGCGGCTTGCACATTATCATGTCCCTCGGAGACGGTCTTCCGGTTGACAATACCCCGTACACCTATATGAACGAAATTGCATGGTTTAAGAAGGTTTTAAATCTGCACTAAGCAACCTATACGGCCTTACTTGGATTCAACAGGATTAGGAATTTCATGCAGACATAGTCGCCCATATCGAATTTCAGATCTTGCAGCTTATTCTGCAGCTCGTTGAAGTAATCGCCCAGCTGTGGCACGCCCAACAGTCCCAGACTCATCAGATTGAAGACCTGGCCATTGTTCAGTTGCGTTTCGTCGGGCAGACCGTTGTGGATGCGATGATGCAGGTGATCCAGAACCAGCATGTCTGACCAGGAATGCTGCAGCAGCTTCATTTGGTCGTCGACCTAAATATCAGAAATCATAAAAAATAAATGATTCATAAATAAAGTAAACAATGTAAAAGTGAGTAAGTATCAGCACGGCTGCCACTTGTGAGTGTTCAAAATCAAAGAGGATTCTGCTATATAATCGGTGATATTGCAGATCCTTACTTTTATAGTTATTTTATTATCTAATGCCAACTTAGATTTTATTTTTAAGCAAAACAGAAAACAAAACTTGTAGAGGTTCAGTATAGGAGTTTTAAAGAATTATAATAAGGCTGGCTAATTAATTCCAAATCTTAAACGCATTTCGTTGTGAGTTACCATCAAAAATGGACTACGTATTAATATTTTAGATAGTTTCGTATTATTATATATAACTGGGATAATAAATCTGTACAAAAGTTGACTAATTCATCTCAGTTTTTACTCTTTTCAAGTGGCAACCGCAGGCGAAAAGTTCAATAGATACATTTTGTATGATGATATGGTATGGAGATATGCTAAGGCCTAGTTTTGGATGGTTTGGTATTACAACACGCTCTCTCTTTCGCTCGGGGATTCTCTTAGTCTTAGTCTCTAGGTTTCTCCGATTCTCCCTGCCTCACAGCTCAGTCTCTGAGTCTCCGTTTCGGTTTCTCCGCTCTGCGGTGGGCTGGTATGGGTGAGCACATCAGTTGCGTCATTGAGCGAGAGACGCTGCTGCTTGGCTGACTGACTGGTTCAGCTTTGCTGGCTAAGTAGGTCAGACGCCAAATGAAATCGAAATTCAATGCAGATTCTGCCGGCGTCGCTGTCGACGTCGGCGTAGCAGTCGCTGTTGCTTTTGCTATCGCTGTCAGTTGTGTCGGTGGTTTACATAACATGCCGCAGACTTGGCCCCTAGCTTGAAAACTGGTTTCTGGCTTTGAACCATGTTGCTGCTGTGCTGTCTGTGTTTTTTGATTTCTGTTTTCTGATTTCTGATTTACTCGATGTTGGAGGGCAAGGGGATGTCGGGGAATTTGGGGCAACCCCAATGCCTTCAAAATGGCCCATACCTTCAGATCCTTGAAGAAGACGGTGTTGCGTGCCCAGTCCACTTGCGAGAACAAATTCTGGTCGAGCACTTTGCACATCAGCTCGAAGAGATCCACTTCCACCTGGTTGTAGGTTTGCTTCTGCAGCAGGGCAAACAGTTGCGTCTGCCATTCCCGATCGTCGATCGATTGCACAAATTCACGAATCATGGGTGAGACTCTGCAAGCATAATTAATATGATTTATAGAGTTTAAGACATTAATCAGTGTCTCTGAAGAACCTACCTTAATGGCTCTATTAGCGCGTCGGCTGTGCTCGATGGATGTGTGCCAGAATCAAAGCTTTTTGTGGATAAAAGATACAAAGAATGTAAAAATTAGTTAAAGTTCAGGTGACTATTACTTGGAGAGCTCATCAAGTGACAACTAAGCAAAACATGGAAGAGCAGCATGAGCATAAATTGTCTCTCTTTTAATCAGTTTTTATACCCTATTCCGAAATATCACTAAGATCTTTCTAAAAAGATTAAAAAGACCTTAGCTTAATAATCAGTTTGACTTGAGGTTTTTTTTCGTAAATATGTTAAATGCGTAACAAAAATTATAAAATCAAATAGAAATCATAAGACTGCTCTCTTCCACATTTGCCACATGATCAGGTTGAATCCTTTTCCACAAATGGGGTAAAATATCGAAAGTTTTCTTTGAATTTGTTTTGATGTTCGTTTGTCATTTTGATTGTTATGAGTTTGGATATTCTTTGGGTTCTGTTCTGGCTTTTTGGCTAAATACCACAATTTCGAGTCGGCCGTATTCTGCAGAGATCCTATTCCAGCATCGTGGCAACTGCTGTTGCCATTGCCGCCGTTGCGATGCAGGCCGTCGCCGGAATTATTGCCACCGCCGCCTCCTCCTCCACCGCCCGCATTGTTGCCACCTCCTCTTTCGGACGCTCCGTTGCCCGTGCTGCTGTTGTTGTTGCCGCTGCTGCTGCCGTTGCTGCTATTGCCGTTGCCCACGGAACTGGGCCCGTTAAGACCTCCGCCAACGCTACCGCCGTTGCCGGCGTTCATGGGCGTGGCTATCACACCGCCCGTGCTTGCGTTCACCTGTCCCAACGCAATAGCTATGGGGCTGGGCGACGAGTCCGGAGATTGGGTGAGTGAGGATACCTGATGACGTTCAACAAGAAGTGGCTTATTAATATAAAGTTCTTATTATTCCACATTTTGGTCATATATCTCACCTGAGGTATTTGGATTTCCTGCTTAATGTTCATATTTGGATATGCTTGCTGGTATCCCGGCGAGATCGGCGTTGGCTTGATGTCCGGACCCATCGAGTTGCGCAGCGCTTGTAGCGCCAACTGCCGCTGCCGCATCACCTGCAGCTTCCGCGCCCGATCCCGTTTGTACATGGGTCCAAACTTGTTGCGTCCACCTCGCATCCGATCCGCTCGGACAGCTGTAAAAGAATATATTTTCAAATTAATTAAAACCTTTGGATAATGAAGGAAATATTTCTTAAAAAAACCTCCTAGTAAATAAACATTTAATTTCTTTTTTTTCTCATTTCTTATCTTTCAGAAACATTTCTTAACTCAACTTTAGACCGTAAAATGTACAAGTAATCCGATAATTCTAATTCTCTAATAAAATTTTAAATGCGTTACATAATATAAAGCAATTAATGGAGGATATGAGAAAATTACGCCTAGAAATTATCAGCTTCATACAAAAAAGCACGACATAATTTCTAGAAAACCAAATCACTCTTTCATATTACTTGGTATTTTCTGAATTTGTATTTTATGTTGTTTCCACAAACTTAAGTTTAAAAAGCTCCAAAGCACTCGTTTCTTATCTCTTAAAAATGTAAAAACAAAACTTGTGTAATAATAAGTCAGTTTAGAACCCGAAATTTAACAGAGGAACGATAAGACTATGAATTAAATCATATTTTACATTCAAATTCTTCAATAGAAAAGTAAAGGAATGTTTTTATTAAAGAAATATTTTAAAAAAAGTTTTAGTTTTTAAATTTGTTAATTCTAGTAGATATTTTACATATTATGATCAATTTTATCCACATATATTTTTCCTGGATTTAAGATTATTTATTTCAGGGACTAAAAAGAATGGTCTTATAAATTGACGATCTCTTTACTTGTAAATCTCTTTACTTAGAATTTGAAAGTGCTCAAAGCATTATTTATATATTTCAAAATTAATGACTAAATAATTATCTCGCCTTTGCCAACTTTTATCATCTCAGTTTCAATAGATCCATTGATGGCCCAAAAGAATTTAATTGTACTTAACATTTTCCATTTAACTGACCCACAATTCGTAGCTTGCAGAATGCAACGTGGGGAAAACATCCTATTCGTTTCGTTCATATTTCTCTTCTCATTAAAAGCCAACTCATAACGGCGCTTGACAAAAACAACGAGCAGGCAAACGCACACCCACAACTACAGATTGCACATGCATACGCACATACTTAAACAAGCACGCACATGGAAAATGTAGTTACATACACATATTGCGCATACGACGCATTGTACAGCGGCATCAAAACAAAAACTGTACAACGCGCATATGTGTACTTATGTGCGTTTGTGTGTGAGAACACGCTAAATGAAACGCAATAAAAATGCGCTTCTTATGGCGCAGCACGAAAAAAAGACCGTAAAGGGTACAGAGAAAAATTATCAAGGAAATATTTATAAAGTTAAGAACTATGCTTTTACTAACAGTTTAAAGATTTAAAACAAGGAATTCAAAATTATTATAAATGTAGTTATTAATAAGTAAACTTATTGAGTATTTGTTTATTATTTTTTCTTTCATTTCTTGAAAAACAATATCTTAAGCTCAAAACAACACCCAAAAATAATCAAGTTATACCTTAACAAGGACTGTAAACAAAAGTGTTTACAATTATAATGAAATTTGCGTACTAAATGCTTGAAATGTAAATGGATAAATACTATTTAATACGCAATTTATAGCATTATTTATGATATCTTCTATTTAAAATAGGACGCTCCTTTTCTCTCCGTGTAAGTGAGAATTGCGAGGGTGGCGGCTTAAGCCAAAAACAGATTGCGATTGCAGCTAGCGCCATGTTGATTACAAGATGCAATTGTCGGGGGTTGTTTTCGCACAACCCGTATCACAACAAAAAAAATCGCGAGTGGGTGGCAATGGGCGGCAGGTGGCCACCATGAAATATGCATTTCAAATCCAAAGGCAAGGGGAAAAAAAGTAAAACACACACTCATACACTGAAAGCATTTTGATATATGCAGTTTCAGTGCGGCGAACACAAGTAACTGTAATTTAGGTCAAGCGTATTGTTTACAAATAATCAACATACATATGCATTTGAATATGTTTGTGTGCGTGTTTGAGAGAGGCCATTTGCCGCTCTCTCTCTCTCTCTCTCCCTGCCTATCTCTTTTGATTATGTTTTTGGCTTGGCAACGCGAAAGAGCTTTCTATTACGACATTTCTCTCACCGCACTCACACAGTAACACACACGTTAGCTAGAAAGAGAGCGAGAAAGAGTCAAAGACTGAGAGGCTTTCCGCATTAGACAACTTTGTTGTTGCTGTCGAGTGGAGTAGGTCAAGGACAGTGTGTGTGAAAACTGGGACAACACGGCCATTGTTGTTGCCTGCCAACTCTCCCAAAAAGAAAAACTCACTCTCTCGCACACTCACACTGCCACATTCACTCGGGGGACTCTCTTGTGTGTTGTTGGGAAAGTTGTTTGTATTTGTGGGCGACTTACAGCCGCTTTTTTATGGCCTTTTCCTTTTTCCGGCTTTGTATCAAGTCTATTTATGTTGGGCAAGGTAAAATAAATACAAGAAATATCGTCAATCGATGGGCAATTTATGGAGTTCATAAAACCGTTCCCTTCGCATTTTTTCCCTGCTAATTTGTTGATCCATTTACTATCTTTTCTTTTTTAGCTGGCTCTTACATAATTTCCTAGCGACATTTTTTCACTTTCAATTTCGGCTTGTATTTAGATTTTCACCTTTTTGTTGGCTGTCTTTTCGTTTGGGTTAAGTGGTTCAATTTGTATACGACAAAAATGTTTGTTGAAAGTTCCCTATCTTTGAATTTTTTTTGGAAATTTTCTCACACAAACAGCTGGGAAATCAATATGTGGCCAGTAAATTCAGCTCGTTGGTAGGCGTTTCGGTTTAAAGCATTTTAAAACCAATCGTAGCATTTGTAAGAAACTAATTTGGGTCACTGGTGCGTATGAGTAACTTTTTGGTTTAGTTTTAAGCTGTTTGCTTAGCGGATGTTGTCATGGAGTATAATAACATTTTTAGGGTCTAAATATCATATACATATTCACAATATATTGTGATTTTAAAAATAGTTTATTGATTTTCAAGTCAAGTGGTACCAATATTAAGCAGTCGCAGTGTGGAATTACAAGAAAAATCCAACTAAATACAGTTCGACCTAACGATTTCCATTAATTAACTCTAGATGGAAAACATTGTTTATTCAAAAGAGAAAATATAAAGAAGGAATCGCACATAAAAGTGGTAAAGATTTCATTATTTCATCTAATTTCCGATAAATTTTAGGCAATGGAAGCTCCAAAATATAAAAATGAATCAAATTCAGAATAAGACTGACTTTTATTCAAACTATTAAAATATGTTATAAGTGATTTTAAAAAACAAAGACACGCTTACAACCTTTAAAATGAATGACTAAAAAGTTTTCAGAAAGGCAGGGACTAGGCGTATACGTAATATTGCGAATACGCCTAGATTTTCTTATAAAGTTATGATAATAAATGTTTAATATAAAAAATAACAAACAAGGTGATAGTCATAATTCTACCTAACTAATCTATATCCTTAATAGCTGATTAGTTTATCAAAATATTATTTTGTCTCTTAATGTTAATTGAGATTAATGACAAGACATATTTTTTGGCCCAAAGTGTTTCCAATTGGCAACCTAATGAAGCAAAACTCTCACTTAAACTCAACAAAGCTATTTAATCGAAATCCCTATTGTCCCTACCTCCGTAACAAAAACATATGGCATTCGAGCCATGTGAGTCATAACATCCAGCTAAGCCCAAAGACTCGCCGCCTTTTTATAGCCCCCTGAAATAATAAAAAACAAAAAAAAACTCAAGTCACAAAATCCAATAGCGGCTAAAAATTGCCGCAATTATAAAGACCATAGCCAAAGCCTGACTGGGAGATATAGTCGTTGGTATCTGGGGAATCGGTGGAGGAGGAGGAGGAAGGGGAATCGCCGCTGACGAAAGAGATTTCAACAGAGGCGAACGGAAGGACGGAACGAGACGAAACGGAACGAAAAAGAGGCAAACGAGAAACGACGACAACGAAGCGAAAATGTTCGTAATAATTCAGTGAGTATTAAAAATAAAATATACTCACACACACTAACACATGCTGGCGCACTACATGTTGCATTGATTACACACTCGCACACAGGCAGAGAAAAAAAACACCGAGAGAGACAAACATTTTGCCATATCACGTGCACGCACACTACCGCACAATGGAATCTAGGTCATGAGCGCAAGAGATGGCACTATGGGCCAAGTACACGAAGGCGGAACTGAGATGGCGATACGTTGATATACGTACGGGTGAGTATATTGCACACACGTTGTTTTTGCGGCCTCTGTCGCTGTCGACGTCACTGCCGACAGCGCTGTCCCCGCTGACTCAAGTGTCTGCCTGTGTGGGTGAACAGAGAGCACCTTCAGAGAACGCGACTGTGTATGTGTGAGAGCCCCACAAGACAACAAATGAAACTCAAATGAAAAACGAATTTTATTCGAGCACTCGTAAATTTGATGGACAATATTTGCTGGTCATGTGTTTCCACCAAAAACAAAAAAGGGAAGAAGCAAATAAGCGGAAGTAAGGCAATCCCATAGTAAATAATCGGATGCAATATGCAAAATTTGATTGGAATTTGTCGTCAGGGTGAGTTAAAAAATTCAAATTTAGAAAGTAAATCAACCTTTGGAAAAAGGATTGATTTAAGGAAAGCTAATTGTGATTAATTTCTGGTCTTAAAATAACCTATTTTTTTTAGATTAATAACCAGTTGATAAATAAAAATATTCAATAATATACAAATATTTCAGAGGCCAAATTAAGTAATATTAAATATCAAACTGTTATAAAATTCCAACCAAATGAAATTCAATTAAGTATTCCGACGTTTATAAAGAAATAACAATCTATCTTAGGCCCAAAAAACTCCACCCAAAAGCAATTTCAGCGTCCGGCAATCACAATTTTCACACTTTTCACACTTTGCATAATAATTTTCAGAGTTTGTTTGACGCTGCCCCACAAACAACACAACATGTGGCAAGTCAAGTGAGCGTTTCGAATGATAAGTAACAAACAAAAACGAAAATAGAGACGCAAAACAAAAATTGCTCGCGCTAGTTTGAATCCAGTCCACAAAAGCAGTCAGTCTGGAAAAGCGGTAAAAAAAAAACTATTACAAAATTCAAACAATTTTTGAAAAAGAGAGCAACGCAATCAAGTACAAGTGAAGAAGGGACTTGATAAAGAAGATCTATAAATTATTCATTATTTTTTATTTTATCTATAATTATATCCATTCTCGATTAATACACTTTTTTGTGATATTGATTAGAAAATAATCTAAAGTAAGGCATTTCCAAAGGAATTTTAACTTTTATTTTCCGTCTTAAATGGGCTTATAATATAAGAATATAAAAAAATTGATTTGTTTTTATGTATATGAATCAATTTTATGATAATTATTAAAGGATTTGTTTTTATTTATTTTTTTTTTTTATAAAAATGGTAGCCATCCCTTTTAGTACCCACTGTACTGATGTGAGAGACTTACTTCCCTCTCTTTTTCAGTTTGCCGCTTTTTGTGTTTTGGTTTTGAGCTTTGTTTTTGCTCTGGGCTCTGCCCGTCCCCCCTTTCCTCTCTCCTCCTCTCGCATCTCTCTCGCAGCAGCGGCGGCAGCAGAGCCTTGTTTTGTGGGTGAGGGCGTGGAATTCTTTTGGGACCGGTGCATGCTGCACCGACTCTGAATATATATCGACTTAGTTTCATATATACTCGTACGATGATATATATCCCAGTACATATGGCAGTACATGTCTGTGTACTATATTCACTCTGTACATGCTTTTTGTTTGTAGGGCGCCCTCTCAACTTGTGTGGCTGAAGTTGTTTTTCCTTTTTTTTTCTTATTTTTGCTTAAATCCCACTTTGACTTACGCAAAAAAGAAAATATAAAAAAGTATTTGGAAAGGGGTAGGGAAATGAGGAAAATATTTCAGCCAGCTGAAAAGTAATTATGCAAGTAACAAGGGGAAACCGAATATAAGGGAGAGAGCGCGATTAAATTTCAATGAAATAAGTATGAAAGGCCTTGCCGTGGGTGAGTTTTTTACAAAGTTGAAATTAATAAAGCCAGTGCCTGGACTTAAATCCAAAGGTCAGGCTAAAAATATAGATGTCCTGGATTAACAAAAACCTGTTTTGTAAGGGAAATATAATTAAAGAACTCTTGTTTGGTCTTCAAAATCAAATAGTTTAGTGTTTATCTTTAAAAAAAGTCTAAAGAGAGATTGGAAACTAAAGGCTTAAACGATAAATGTGACTCAGGTATCTTTAATCCCATGACAATCAAACTAATAAATATGCTAATGAGAGAAACTAAACAGATATTATGTGGTCTTTTATTGGTATAATATCTTTAAAATAGAAATAATATAAAAATAATCTGTAGATATTACAAATTTGTATCCATAATCGCAACTAATAGGTGGAAAAAATAAATTTAAACTAAAATATATATCGTAAGGAACGCCGATACCACATACATTACACATCATCCCACGTTCTCCGAGCCAAAGGTAAATGAGAACGAGGTAAAGGAGAGACAGTACTTTGTGTAATAAAAAATAAAAAATGAAAAAGGCAAAATGTTGACGCAGTGACAACAATGACAAAAGCTGGCGTCATTAAGACGTGACAGAGCCAAGAACAACAACGAAAAAACCGAGCGGCAGACTGACCGACCTACTCAACAATAATAACAAAATAACAATAATAACGAGACCGGCGGCGATATTAATAATTGGGATAGGTCTGGGATATGGCCGCCGAAATGTATTTATTAATACATTTTTAACACCGTGGCTTGGGAGTATATGTGTCGAAATGAGAGCACGGCCCCGGTTGAGGCTATCAATAATGCACTTTTGCATAATCTGAGAAGAATTACTCATTACTCTGCGGAATTCTGGTAGAATTTCCCTCGGGCTGAAAGATTTTAACTTCCAGAAAAAATTCCCCAAACTATCTCAACGTTAGTTGGCTCATTTGTAGGTTTTGTAGTTTTGTTTCTGCGCATTTATAAATAATAAGAAATATCGATTTAATTCCATTTCGACTGTAGGAACGGCACACAGCCGAAAGCCAAAAACTGCAAACAAGAGACGAACCCTGCTATGATATACATGCATTTCCACACAAGCGGACGAGTTGGTTATATGAAAAAGGGGTCATGGTTGAGGCTGCCAATAGTGGCAATTTCGCTTCTCCTCGTTGCAAATGTCGTTTTCTACCGGAAAAGGGAGTGGGGCACAATATGAGAACCAAAACCTTTGTCCAAAAAATTGGAAAATTGAGTATAAAGTAAACTATATTATTAAGTAAAAGTTGGTTGGAACAGCAGGGGAATTTATGATGATGTAACAGCTTACTTTTTAAACAATGTAAATGTACAAATAATTATATTCTTTATAGAAATATTGATATAAAACATTCATTTAAAACATACAAAAATCAAGATGTTTAAAGAAATAATTTGCCTACTCTATGCCTTTTCGATATCTGCTCTTATTAATAAATGAAAATTTTTTGGGATTTCTTAGTCTACTTACTAAGCACTGACTAAATCGATTGTAATTCCTACTAAATTTACTTCAAAATAACCTTATTGCAACTTTATTTACTTCAATAATTTAGCTATTTAGTTTAAACTTTAAAATTCTGGAATATCTTGTTTAAAAAACTTGACTTGGCTAATAAAAAAAAATATATATATCTAATAAAATACTTTATAAGTAACTAATGACTATTGGATTTCCAGAAATTGTCAATGCTAAATGCAAATTGAAACAACATTTTTATTGCTCCCTCAGGGACATCACTCATACGCAATGTTGTAAACAAATTGTTGTCGAGGGTCAGGGAAAAATACGTGACTCTGACTGGAGTTGACTCTTACCGAGTCTAAAACGGTCTAAAAGATATGGAATCATGATATATCATGTGAGTCATATGATAAGGGGATTGTTTTAAGTCCGTAAACTAATCCACAGAGCTTCAAAGTAAATTCTAAAGATATTTATATCTTGTTAATAGTGACTTTTTAACCTTATCTAAAATGTATCTATGGAATATTAAGATGTAAAATGGTTTTTAGGTAGAATAGAGGTGGAAAATTTATCGTCGTCAGTGTAAGCAAAAAAAAAGTAAAAGCAATATCTTAGGTTTTTTTTAATAATATCTTCTAATTGGCAATAATGTTTGGTTTCCAAAAGAGGAAAGAATCAGATAAATCAGTCTATATAACACCCAAAAAATGTGTTTTTATATATTATAAAATATAAGTAAGGAATTCTTGACTCACCTTCTAGCTTCATGCCGACCTCGAGGCACTTCTGGAATCGGCAGTAGGGACACCGTTTGCGCTGCGTCTTGTCGATGTGGCACGACCGCTCCGCCACGCAGGTGTAGACCTTCTTGTTCTGCACGGTGCGCTTGAAGAAGCCCTTGCAGGACTCGCAGGTGAGCAGGCCGTAGTGATAGCCGCTCACCTTGTCGCCGCACACCGGGCAGAGTTCCTCGAACAGGTGCTTGAAGTCGATCACTTCGCCACCGTGTCCCGGCGTTGCACTTGTACCGCCCATGGGATTTCCCGGACCGGAGTTGCCGCCAGAGCCGCCATTGTTGCCACCACCGTTGCCCACGGAACCAGAGGACATGTGGCCGGCATTCTGGTTGTTATTATTGCCACTGGAACTGGCTGCCTGGGGTAGAAGCATGTAGCCACCGCCGGCGGAACTGCCTCCGGAGCTGCCATTAAGCAGGTTGCCACCGCCGCCGCCACCGCCACCGCCGCTTTGCTGCGAGTGTGAGGAGGTGGTGTCCTGATAGCCTGTCGGAAATATATACTGTGAATCGAAATTGTATATATACGAGTAGGACGAGGAGTTGAATTGGTTGGCATTGTTGGCAATATTCTGTTGTTGTTGCTGGTAGTGTTCTTGCTGCTGCTGTTGGTGTTGCTGCTGCTGTTGTTGCTGTTGCTGCTGCTGCTGCTGGTGGTGGCTGTTACTGTGGTGTTGCTGGTTGCCACTGCCACTCCCACCGCCGCCAGCCAATTGCAGCGTATAGGCATTATATTCATGCTCGAATTTGGTCAGAGCATGTGCATCATTATCGTTATTATTATTGTTGTTGTTGTTGCTGGTATTGTTGCTGCCGCTGTTGCCGCCGCCGCCGCTGCTACCGCTAGCATTGTTGTTGTTGCTGTTGCCACCGGCCGCCAAAGCGGGACTGGAGGGCTGCTGCTGCTGCTCCAGCTGCATGCTGAACGGCGATATATTCAGCGACGAAATAAACTGTACGGTCGCCTGTTGCTGATCCATTTCTAATAACATTTCATGTAAGTTTTCTGTGAGTTGAATTCAAGGCGAGAGTTTTCCTTCTTCGTCCCTTTTCAAAGGCCGAAAACGATTTCTATTTTATGCTGTTTTTTATTTCCTGGACGGAAGTTTCAAGTGTTTTTTATTCGCTTTTTCTTTTACTATTTGAATTGCCAGCTGAGGAGTTGGCTTAGATTTGGTAGTAAAATAGGTTGCGGTTGACATACGGTGGTCTGGTTTTTGCACTCAATTTTTGCAGATTTTTTATTTGCAACATTGTTAAGGCCAATTGTTAAACAGAATGTTTTGAGTTGTGTTTTTTGTTTTTGATTTCAACAGTAATTTTTATTTAAAATGTATCATAATATCTTGACATATTTTACGTAATTTTAACACAGTTAATTTTATTTTGTTTGCTTTACAATTATTATGTTTTAATTTCTTTGAAAGAAACGTATTTTAGAAATGTTTTGGAATTATTTGGTTCTTTAGAAGAAGTGTGTGTTTTTATTTTGTTAATCGAACGATTTTCTTTACAAGAAAATGACTTAACAAACTGGCTGCTTATTTTCCATTTGATATACTGATGACCATTATTCTTTAGAAGAAGTTCTGCTTTTCGCTTCGTTATTTGTTTATATTTTTGCTTAAATTGTTACTTTCTTGCAGGTACTTTGACGAGGTGAGTGAGATAGATATATATGTATGTTTATGTATATATTTATATGTAGAGTAGACAGCAAAAAGGATGATTTGTTTATAAACTTTTGGTTGGTTTGCCTGGATAGAGGTAGGACTTTTTATATATATACTTCATATATATAGCTTGATTGTGTGCGTTGAATTGAAACGAGATATATAAACACTTTTTGGCTTTGCTTAGTATATTTTCACTTTTGTATTTTGATTGAAAGTGGGTCACGAATTTATTGCACTATATATATATATAGATATATTTGTGTGTGTGTGGGAATTGGATTTTGTTGTTTAAACAATTTGCATTGCACACATACACACACATGCACGAATGCACTAATGCACTGATGCACCGTTGCACTGAACACACACGCACACGGACACACACTCACGCAACGCAGCAAGAGAACATAATCCTTGGGCTGTTCTGCTGGTGTGGGTGAGGTGCAATTTGATTTGACTTCAATTTACTTGAATATTCGATTTGTATTTGTATTTGGTGCATGCAATTCGATTGCTTTTTTATCTATTTCGCAATGGCTTTTTGTTTATTTTGATCGATATTTGGGTCACTCACACGCGCACATTTGTTGTTAACAATATTTCGTTAGGTGTAACGCTTTGTCATCTATTTATGTGTGTGTGTTGTTGTTGTTGTTGTATATTTATATTATATATATATGTATATATATATATATATTTATGTATATATTTATTTGTGGATAGCTATGCGAAAAACACGACCAACATCAACCACGTATCTCGATTGACTAAACCCAAGTAAACGGCGAGGATACCGCAATACGCTGCTCCGCTGGCGTCGCTGCCTCTGACTATGTCTCTGCCGCTGTCAGCGGTCGCTGCCTCGGCCGGCGTCACTCTCGCTCTCAGTCGGCCATTTCGGTTATTACGTATACGTTCGGTGGCTCGTTCGGTTATTTGTTCACTCGTTTCACTTTCAACGAAGCTGCGCTCTCAGTGGCGCTTCTCTCTCTCAATTGCTCTCGCTCTAACTCTCTCTCTCTCTCTTGCCAAATAGAGAGCGAGCAGCGCTGCTTGGCTTGACTTAGTGCCCCCCTTTTTTTTTGGGGCTTTGTTTTTGCTGTTGAAACTCATACTCAAACCCAAAAGCAAATCCAAACTGAAAGCGAAAGTGAAACTTTTTGGCATAGCTTTGATCCACTGTTCGCCGCTGTACAGTGCAACAACAATACGTCATTCTTTTGAAGGGACAGTCATAGAAAAGATATTAGAAACGAACCACTTTTTTGTTTGTCTTTTTAATGTTTATTAACTACCTTCTAGAGGCTCTTCTTTTTATCATTTGTTTTTATTTTCTTTTTTTTAATTTTTAGGTCTTTAATCATTTTTCAGTGTTAGATGTTTTTTAAAATGTTTATAGGGTGCTTCTATTTTTTCTCCCTCCATTGTGCTTAATCCCAAACGAACGGCATTATGAAAGCCTTTAAGCCTTAACTTTTCAAGTGGCTATTTTGTAATTTCTTACTCACTTAAATAAACTGGGAATTTTTTGGGTCTCTTCTTCAGCAGTTTTTGGTTCGCTTTTTTTTTCTTTGGATTTTTTTTGGTTTCGTTGCCACTGCAGCTGCTTGGTTTAGTTTCTTCTTTTTTCTTTTCGTTTTGTGTCTGTGTTTTGGTCTCAATTAGTTTGTGGGTTTCTCATTGTTGTTTTTGCTGGTTTTGTTGCATTTGTTCATGACACGGTTTTCATGTGGCGCGTTTTCGTTTCCTATTTCTATGTTTTTGTTATTGTTTCCCCTATTCATGCTTTTATTTAATAACTATTGCTTTGGGCTTTTCGCTGGTTTAATATAAAGTTATTGTGTCTTTTGGGTTTCTTTAGGTTATTCGGATGTTAAAATACAGTTAAGTTGCTTGGGGAATTTTTGTCAAGCTTATTTGTCATTCTTTTTAGCTAATTTAAATATTTTGTAACTCACTATTTTATTTGGTTGATTCATTTTGGAATTAACTTAAAAGAATTTCTTACTAATTGATATTTGGATGGATATTGGTTTTAGAAAATGACAAGCATTTCGTTATTTATTATTTAAATTTCTTTCTTAACACGGATGTTTATCCTTTTTTATATTGTTCTTAGTTTTTATTGATTTGTAATAATAAATAATATTTACGGCTCATAAATAAAACATTTCTCATTTTTGCTATCTAGAAAACTGTTTTTGCCAAAATTGAAAATTTGCTGGCCATTTGAAGGGTTATTTAATTTTATTACACTGCAAAACTGATTTTTATGTTATCTCTTTCAACAAATCTTCTTCGCTTCACCTTCCCAAAAACAATTAGCGTTGCGTATACGTAATATTTTATGGCTAATTAACGTACCCCGAAAAACTTCGGCTAAATCAGTCATTAAGAAAGGCAAAACTTTAACAACTCCACAAACCCAAATAAGGACGCAAGCCCTGCGATGGAAAGACCATTAAAAACGCAGAAACCCCAGCGTAAGATTGCATAAGATTCCGCCGAAAGGAGCATGCAGCACATGCATACTCGTATAATATACCAACTAAACTACATATAATAAAACGTGGTCCGCAAAATAAACTTTCACTCCCAAGAGTCCAAGTCCGAGTCCGATTCCTTAACTAACCCAAAACGGAACTAAAGGCGAAGCAAAGAAAAAAGGGCCCATCACCCATTAAAATGCAAGATTCATGAATCACAAAAATATGCCGAAAATACAAAATCAAACAAAAAGGAACGAGGCGAACACACATGGGGAAAACCCTAAAAAAGAGATGAAAACTGCATAAAATGCAGTTAAGAGGGAACTTTCAACGATGCACGTGAAAACGTGTCTCAGCGGCTCTCCCAACTTTTCTGTTTGCGTAAAAAAAAAACCGAAAAACTTAAACACGTTTGCCACCTTCATGTAGGTTGGGGGGATTACAACATTTCAACGCTCAATTACCAAAGATGAAAGAAGACGCAACTTTGAGACAGAGACTCGCCTCTGTCTTCTCCTTCTTCTTCTTTGCTCCACAAAAACAACACCGAAATGCTATGGGTATGTATATATGCGAGTATAGTGATCTTACGAAATACCCAAACGCACTCAAAAGTTTACCCAAGAAAAAGTACAGAAACAGAAAACAAAGACTAAGGCAACTTTTCATTTCCTTCCCAAAAACCCAAAACAAAAAAAACTCACAAAAACGAAGAAAAAATGTTCGTGACCGTAGCCAACGAGACTTTGGATCTCTGATCATATGGGCAGCAGGTAATGACAAAATGCACACATACACGTAGCCTTAAGGCACAGACTTGAGCACAGTTGAGGTGCGAAAAATAAGTGGTGTTAAATCGATTTCTTTGATTTCTTAGTAAAGAGTAAAGTTTTCCTAAGCTCTCGTCACACCTTCTTAAGACCTAATATTATTTCTATCTATAAATCACAGTATTATGATAACTGAGGGTTGTCAGACCCTAGGTCCCTTCGAAAGATGATCTTAAAGATAAAAAGTTCCCCGTGAACTATAAATTTTTATATTAAAGAAATATTATTTATTTTATACATTATATTTTGTATACTTTTAATGATCACTTTTTCTAGACTTTTGTTTTATTTCAAAGTTTGATAGCTTTCAAAATATTATACCAAATGTTTTACTATTTACTGATCCTCCACTGTGGCCCTGTTTCACTCTCACTCTCGGTTATGTTTGATTCATGCCAGCGCCAAGCCAGGCCAAACAGGTTTGGGATTCGGTTTGGGTTTTCGGCTGATAGCGAGCGAGAGATACGATGCGAGAGGAGACCTACTTCTGCA